GCTCACAGTTTATTTTCCAAATGCAAGGTAAGTTTCTGCTGACTCTCATCATATTACTTAGACATTGTCAGATTTGCATGTTCAAAAATACAATGTAAACATCATGATTCTGATGTTGTACATATTATGAGGTTTCGTGTATTTGCCTGCCTAGGTAGAGAGAATTTCAGTCCAGAACTTCTTGAAAAAACTAGGATTCAGAATTAGGATTAGCAAATTCATGCTTGATTCTGATTTATAGTTCTTATATCTCTTGTTTCTGAAACGTTATGAAACCTGCCATAACTGTTATATGCATATCTTCTGTTTTTGTTGAGAAATGACTAAGTTACAGATGTTCTGACTAGCATGGAGAGGGAGACGAAGTTCTGCCAGTGGCATTAGAACTTCTGAAATCTTCTTTGTTCCCAGTGGATCCAGAACTTCTGACTTTACCTATTTCTGCTAATATGATTTCTGTTTTTGCAGCACACCAGAGTCAGAAGTTCTGATCTCTTTTAGTTCAGCAATACGCTGATTCTATTTTTCTATTTACTTACCATTTTTTGCCCTCGGTTCTATTTTCGCTAATCAATCAAAAAACACCAAAAACATTTTACATTTTTGACATGTCTTATTTTATTTCTTTTAATATAAAAAGATCAAAATATTTTCTTAAATAAAACTCATTTCTTTACTTAAACAAAACAAGTTCGCTTTACATTTCTTGTACATTCTTATCTATTCAATATGATTGTAATAGTAACTTAGGATTTTATTTTTACTTGCAATCCCCATTTATACTATGTACACCCCCTCCCAGAAATGTTGTAATAGCGTAGTAACTTAAATTCCGCAATTTATCGCTTTATATACAATTGCTAGTAATTAGGGTTTGTATGGAAAGACTTAAAATCAATAAATAGCAAACCCTAATCAAAGACAAAATCAAGCATGAAAAACAGTACACTTGCACACAAGCACCCCCTAGGGTAAATCCATTTGGTTACCTTACAAAATGGACATATTACGCATGTGAGGTATCTTAGCAAAAACAAGCAAAATGCAAGATCATAGTCCCTCGATGATGCTATCCATGTTGCCTTTCAAATGATCTTAGTCCCTAAAAGAGAATGCTAAGATATCTTGAAACATTGCTAATCATGGTTATACGATGACCCATGCTCGTCCCGTTTACATCCAAAGATAGGGTTGCTTATCAAATCAATGGTAAGATAACAATGTCAAAGGAAGAGAAAATAAACAAGAAAGACTTTTTGAGAAAGTAGAATGCTCCTAATTACTTGCTCAATTTCAAACAAACATCCTTGCTATTTTCAAAACCAACATCTACACATTTCAAAACATCTTACAAACTTGAAAACATTTTCAAAAAGATCAACATCTTTGTATACATTCTTACGAACGAGAATCATTACAAAGATTGCCTAAACGATGGCATCTTTACAAAATACTTTCAAAAAACCAAACAAAGCATAATTTCAAACAAAAGCAAGTGATCTAGCAAGTAACTAAGAGCCCATGGAAAACCATGGATGAAAAGGATGCTAATACCTTCCCTTTTCATAATCTTCCCCCGAACTCAAGAAATAAATCTCAAAGGTTTTTCCTGTGTTTTTTCACTTTTCCTTTTGGATAAAAGAAAAGTCGGTGGCGACTCTTGCTAACCGCAACATTTGCGATAAAACGCAAAACCCTCAAGTCAGTTCTCCTACCGTATCACACCTCGAATGCAAGATGCTCCAGTTTATGTGCATGAAATGTTTTTTGTTACAGAGGTAATCAAAAAGTGGCGTCAATATTTACTTGGGCAACAATTTCACATCTATACAGATCAAAAGAGCTTAAGGAATTTGTTACTATAGAAAATCCAAACCCCTGAACAACATAAGTGGGCTGCTAAACTACAGGGATTCAATTTCTAGATCTTTTACAAACCTGAAAAATCTAATCTCGTAGCGGATGCTTTAAGCAGAAAGTTCCATTCAGATGACTTTGTCTTGCTCACCCTCACTTCTTTAGTTCCTAATATCCTGACCTCGCTCCGTGCGTTTTATGCCACAGACAAAAAAATGGCAACAGTAAGTGGAACAAGTTTTTAGCAGTACCACTACTCATCAATCTTACAAATTTTCTAAAGGGCTAGTGTATTTCAAAGACCGTTTGTTCGTACCTGACATCAGTGGATTCAGACAAAGCCTTCTTCAAGAGTATCACGCAGCTCCTACTGCTGGTCACTCTGGGGTCAAAGCGACCCTTACTCGTATATCTGCTTCTTTCTTGTGGCCTGGCATTTACCCTGAGGTCAAAAACTTTATTAAACATTGTGTCACATGCCAAAAAAACAAATATGCCACTCATAAGAAAATGGGTTTATTGCAGCCTCTTCCAATCCCAAATCAGGTATGGGATGACATCACTATGGACTTCATTACAAACTTACCAAATTCTTTTTGTCATACTGTCATCTGGGTTGTATGTGACCGCCTCTCTAAGTTTGTGCACTTCATTTCTCTACCAACGCGCTTCACCGCTAAGATCTTATCCGTCTGTTTTTCGATTGAAATTGCTAGACTTCATGGAACACCAAAATCCATAGTTTCTGACTATGACCCGCTATTTCTCTAATTTTTGGAAAGAACTTTTCAAAGTGCAAGGGATAACATTAAAGCATAACACATCATATCATCCAGAAACGGATGGACAAACAGAAGTTGTCAATCGATCACTAGAAACTTACCTTCGGTGCTTTGCTAGCCAAAATCCGCGACTTTGGTACAAATATCTCCACCTTGCTGAATTTTGGTTCAACACCTCTTCTCACACTGCTATTCAAATGACCCCTTTCAAATCCCTTTGTGGTCGAGATCCCCCAAATCTCCTAGATTACTTGGTGAGCTTTGTTTCCGATGATTCCTTAGCAATATCCCTACAACAAAAACAAGACATCATATTAACACTGAAGGAAAACTTAGGGAAAAGTCGAATCCATATGGAAAAACAAGTCAATCATAAGCGTATACATTTCCCCTTTGCAGAGGGTGATTTGGTTCTCCTCCGCCTACAGCCCTATCGTCAACAGACTGTGATAAAGAGAAGTTCGCGGAAGTTAGCAAATCGTTATTTTGGACCATATAAAGTGATCAAAGGGTTGGTGAAGTTGCTTACCTCTTGGATCTACCATCTTCTTCCAGGATTCATTCGTTGGTACATGTTTCGTTACTCAAACTTTACCATAGTGGATCTAACATGCATGAAAAAAATTTCCCCTTTTCCATACCTGTCATCCCTTATTTTTTATACAGATCTGGCAATTGCAACTTATTTTTCACAGAATGAAGCACCTTCTTCCGTTGGACCTCCCACCTCACCAACACAAGTCCTTGTTCACAAAGAGGATCACCGGAACTTGGAGAAAGCGCCGACGACTTTTGAAAATATAAAGAAAAGATGTAGAAAGAGACACAAAGAAGTGAGAAAGAGATTGCCTCTCAAAATAGACTGATAAAAGACTTTTTCAACACTGAACCTTTGGGACACTCAAATACTCCACTTTCTAATCCCACATGCAAGCATGCTAGTTGTTTCCTTGATATCCCCACACACATGCGTCTTCCCAAGGCCACGTGTCCCACTAACTCATTACTTCCTCCGAACTTCCTCCGAACGTTCTAATTCTCTCAAGTACAAGTCCTACTTCCCCTGCGGCCATCCCTCTCTTACCATGTGTCTCACTAATTTCCCAACATCCATTATATCTCTTTCATCAAGACCCGACCCAATTCCTATTGTCCAAAGCTCTTTTGTCTTATCTATGAACCTTGACAAGATTCTTTTTGGGTCCAGAGTATTGATATGAAGCTACTAAGCCTATTAGAGAGAGAAAACCATATGTCCTACTTAAAGATTATTATAGTTAATTAGGGGTGTTGTTAGAGCTTATTTATTTTCCTTATCTATGTCTTATTTTCACATTGAAGGTTAATGAAAATCTGAATATTGTTTTATGTTTTATTTCCATTGCAACCTTAGATCTGTTTGTTAGTCTTAGGTGAATCCTATTATATATATATATATATATATATATATATATATATATATATATATATATATATATATATATATATATATATATATATATATATATATATATATATATATATATATAAAAAAGAATTCAAAGAACAGAGAATTACTGTATCTAACTTGCGATGACAGAGGGAGGTGAGTATGACATAAAGGTTACATGAGAGGGAACAAAGAAAAACACCAAAAATTGAAAACGTGTTTCTTGTTATTGTCCTAGTTTTATTTCGGCTTGACTTCCCCGTATGACACCGCAGGGTGCAGTTTTTTATTTATACGCACGTTTTTGGTGCAGTTTTTTATTTACACGCACGTTTTTGTTCTAATTTTAGTAGTAATATATTTTGTTGCAATTTACGTTTTTTACTATTTCTGATGCATTATTTAGAAACTGGGAAGCTTCCCCCAAACCTACTATTTCTTACTCACACAAAAATCATTGACTTATGAGTACTTAAGTACTAGTACCCCTTCCTCATACTCATACTTCCTGTAAAAATTAAACTTATCAATTACAAAAATATCCTATTATTTTAAAACGAGTTTCTCATTCTTGTGCTATTTTTAGTAGTAATATATATATATATATATATATATATATATATATATATATATATATATATATATATATATATATATATATATATATATATATATATATATATATATATATATATATATATATATATATATATATATTGTATTGGTCAAAAAGTATAAGTGTGTATGTTCTTCTTGTAAAGGTATGGAGACTTAGAGGCCTTAGCAGGTTTATAACATGATATGGTGATTATGGGTTGCCCAAGACAACGAGAAGTCTTATACAGTGGTGTTTTGAGGTAGTTTGGGAGACCTATTCATGTGAAGTGAGAGACTTTATTGATGATCGATGATGCTTGGTAGCAGACGTATAGTTATAGGCAATAGTGTGTTAAGACTGTAATGAGCGTTATGCTCTTTGGTGTAGAAAATGTGTATGATTTAGAGTTTGTCCTTTCACCTTGGTTATTAGTCCCCTTATTCTCAAGATTGAAATTCCTGTTTGTTGCACTCTTTTCCTTGTCGCTTGTTGATTCAAAGTTATTTTGAGGAGAATACCTAAACGATGAGAAATTTTGAGGGGATTTCTCCATTAATTCTCTTAAAAGCTAGACTGGATGACTCAGCTACGGTCTATATAGTCTATAAACACATCTTCTCCTGCAAAGATCGCTTTAAGTCATTAATGTATTAAGTTGCCTTGTAGCTCTCTAATTCTTCCAATTCATTACGCTTAGAGAAACGTGTGAACTCAGTTGTGTATTCAATCACAGTGTTCTTTCCCTGAACACACTCAATATCCGTCTCTTCGCCAAATCGTGTTGGTGGTGGTATTGTTCACCTGATTTTCTAAATTCTCCATTTGTCTAGTTAAAGCAGTTAGAGTCGCGATAAAAGCCGTGATAATTCCTACAAGATCTGCTCTAGTCATCAGTTGATCTTCCATTGGTGATCAAACTACAAAAAAAAACATGAGAAACCTACTTTAGTGCCACCTGACACAGCCGAAAATACTAGGGATTAGCAAGTGTTAAATCTAGAATAAAAACACAAAATTGCGAGCGTAAAATCTATGAAATAAGTTGCGGATTCCTCCAGATAGAGAAAATATGAAATTTTATTAACTGGAAAGATGATTTTTCACTACTATCTAACGCACATACAACAACGCCAAAGTCACAGCGGTTCGCCCCAAAACTGTGGTGACATCTCTAAACTAAGGCACTATCACTTTTTTATATTTTTTTATTGAAAATTTTAAGGTTATAAGTATGGTTAATTCCCTAATCGTGGTGATACAATCCAGCTTTCCTGGATTCGACCTCAGCTCCCTCAAATAGGTTATCCCTTTTACGTTAATGCATGTCTTTTCAATTATATTTATATTTAATTAAAAAAATAATAGGGATATCACTACGGCTCTTTTGTAAAACCGTTGTAACATATATATATATATATATATATATATATATATATATATATATATATATATATATATATATATATATATATATATATATATATATATATATATAAAACACTAAGGACCCATTCTTCCACTGATAAATGAAACAACCCTAACACCAACATCGTCGACATCGTCGGGAAAAAGACAATACACTCACGCTCATTTTTGTTGTCTAGTTTCATCTCAATGTCGCATTTGAAGAGTAAATCATCCAAAGGTGTTACTATGTCTTCTTCCATTGTAAAATCTCGATCTGGAAATTGTTGTGGTTATGACAGTCGTATGGTTTCGTACCAATGCAAGAGGGGTCAAAATAAACACTACGCCAAAAACGAGTTTTGGCACCACTACATAGACAGCGCTTATGCAAAAGCGCTGTTGTAGGTATCCAAAAAAAAAAACTTTAGACAGCGCTTATTAAAAGCGCTGCTATAGGCCTTATCAAAGGCAGCGCTTTTTCTCCCTAAGCGCTGCTATAGGGTTTTAAAAAAATTAAAAATTAAAAAATTAATAAAAGCGCTGCTAAAGGGTATGCTTTAGACAGCGCTTTCAAAAAGCGCTGCTAAAGGTGTAAGTCTAAAAGCGCTGCTAAAGGGGGGGTAAACCTAAAGCGCTGCTAAAGGGGGGTACCTTTAGCAGCGCTTCTTGAAAGCGCTGCCTTTGGTTTGTTAATTTATTTCTAAACCCCTAACCCCTAAATCAGATTTCCAGAAACACAAAATTAAACCCATATCGCTGTTAATCTTCTTCTCCATTCGTCTCCTCCCATTCTCTCTTCATCCTCTCAACACTCGTCTCCTCCCAAACTCCCCCTGTCTCACTCCATTACTCCCTTTGTTTCGTCATCTCTCAAACCCTCCTCTCAACCGCTTCATCTTCATCGTTACCAACCACCACCATCAATTGTCAACCGTCTCCATCCTTCATCCCTTCGTCGTCCTCTAACCATTACCCTCCGCCTCGCATCAACGGCACAATCACTAACACCAGCAGCCTCCTCCGTTGCATCACCTTCGAATCTTCGGCCCACGGCTAATTCATTTTTTCAATCCAAGTAAGTGTTCCTATCATTAAAGCATGTGCTTCTGGATTCATTTTTTGGTGTGCATCGTGACTAGAGTGTTTAGTTGAATGTAGGTGATTTATGTGTTGAGATTTTCTGGATTCTGTGAGTTTTGCTTCAGTAGGTAATAACATTGTTGTTTGCTCTATTAGATGATAAAATTGATGATTTTGTTTGTTCTAAACATTAGGTAATAACTTAGGTTGGTCTCCATGATTTTGTTTGTTCTAAACAGTAGGTAATAACTTAGGCAGTGTGCTTAAATGATATGAAACGCGGAGACTATCAATGTATTTCTATGGTACCTGTATTAATTTGAAAATATTGTCTGATTTTATTTGATTGTTTAATTTTTATCATTGTGAAAATATCCGCCCCACTCGAGAGATAGACTGCCCCAATGCCCTTTCAAGCATCCTGTGAATGTTGTGTTACATACACCATTAATATGTTAAATAGTTGCGACTCGTTTTATGTATTTGTTCAGTGTTATACTTGTGAATTGATGAGATATCCTTGTGTTTTATATAAGAATATGCTTGTTTTATTATAGATACCTACAAATTAGGCTACTTTATTTGACGTGGAATTGTTCATATAAACAAAAAAGAATTCAAAGGTTAATTCGTGCAACCAGATATTTTAAATTGTGTGGAATGAAACTTGTAATAGTAATATTCTTGACGCACAACCGTAGTAGTCATTGAAAAGAAGCAAAACTAAAGCACACCAACATACAAACTAAATGTATGTTTCAGAGAGGTTAATGATGGTTTAAGAATTCTTGAGATCTGTTTAGTGGTTTTGAAACTAAAGAACAATTATATGGTAGTAAGGGATTTGACAGCTTAAATAGAAAAACTGAATTATAGATTGATTAATTTGTTGTAGAAGCTTGCTTTCATTTAGCCACCAGCACTTATATATGACACATGCACGAACACTATGAGCACAATTCAACTTTTCTATGATGCATTTCTTTGAGGCAAAGTTAAGTGCAATGTCTCGATGTTGCTTCTAAAAAATATAACCTTTAGTTAATTTACTGCTCTGTAACATTTAAGCTTAGTTTTCAATTTTTCATGAGCAAACAAGTGGAGTCATCATGTAATCCTTCCATTTCTCTTTAGCATAGCATCAACCATTTTTGCAAGCAGCTAAAACATTTTTTTTAATGTGGCTATGAATGTGTTTTCTATTAAACAAGCAGAAATAATTATAAGAAAATATAGTAATTTTAATTATATAAGTGTGTTTTCTTATTAAAAAATGAGTAGTATATATATTACAATTCTTCATGGATCCTTTTTAATTTATAGTTTGTTAGTTAATAACTTTTTACGAGTAAATTTTTTGTGTGTGTATTTTTCTTTTCAAAATATATAGTTCTTTGATGTGGGTGAAAAAGTATTTTTATGTTACTCATTTTATTATCAAATATAATATTAAGTGAGTCTTGTAATTTAAGATTTTGTCGGTCATATATAATTACATAAAGCAGTAATTAACTAACTAACCAAAAGTGAACATTTTGCTTTTAGCATAAAGTAAAATTGCTTTATGCTTTGTAATTTGAATTTGAATTTGAATTTCATAGTCAAGTAGCACTTTGATTTTATTAGTTCATAATTGATTTTCCTAATTAGTGTTTTTGTTAAACATACGTAATAGTTAAAACCATGGATAAAAAATGGATGTGTGTCGATCGATTTTCAAAAGAGTACGAGAATGGGGTATTAGAGTTCGTTAAGTTTGTTGTTGAACACGCTGAAGACCCGAATAAAATGAAATGTCCTTGCTTGGGTTGTTGTTATGTGGGTCGGGTTGACGCAGATGGATTGAAATCGCATTTACTGATGCGTGGAATTGATCGAAGTTATACGTGTTGGATATTTCATGGTGAGAAAAGCATCGCGGATGTTGAACCGGGGGTGAAAAGTAGTGCGACCTTTGTTTCAGACGACAATGCCACGAATACATATGATTATGATCGAGTCGAAGAGATTGCAGAAGTACTTGAAGAAGATCTTCAGGATTGTCCAAAAATGTTTGAGAGGTTGGTAGGCGATACGGAGAAACCGTTGTATAAAGATTGTCCCAAATTCACAAGATTGTCTGCGATATTAAAATTGTACAACTTAAAGGCGCGCAACGGATGGTCAGATAAAAGTTTCAGAGTTATTAGCCCTTTTGAGAGATATGCTTCCTGAGGATAATGTTCTTCCTAATCGAACCTACGAGGCCAAAAAATGTTGTGCTCTATTGGCATGAGCTATGAAAAGATACATGCATGTCTAAATGATTGCATTTTGTTTCGAAACGAATATGCATCGTTGAATGAATGCCCTAAGTGTGGTTTATCTCGATATAAGAAAAAATTATCTCCAGCAAAAGTCTTATGGTATTTTCCTATTATTCCGAGATTTAGACGCATGTTTCATAGTGAAACCGATGCTAGACACTTGACTTGGCATGCAGATGAAAGAATTATCGATGGAAAGTTTCGACATCCGGCAGATGCACCCCAGTGGAAGAAAGTTGATAATGATTATCCTGATTTTGGATGAGAAACAAGAAACCTTCGCTTGGCATTATCTACGGATGGAATGAACCCGCATGGTCTTCAAAGTATCTCACATTTCACATGGCCCGTGATTCTTATGATTTATAACCTACCTCCATGGCTATGTATGAAACGCAAGTACATGATGTTGTCTATGTTAATTTTTGGGCCTAAACAACCAGGGAATGACATAGATGTATACTTGAAACCTTTAATCGAAGATTTGAAGATTTTGTGGGAGAACGGAGTGGAGGTTTATGATGGATATAGGAAAGAAAATTTCAATTTGAGGGCGATGTTGTTTGGCACAATTAACGATTTTCCAGCATATGGAAATTTATCCGGGTATAGCATTAAAGGTGAAAAAGCGTGTCCTGTCTGTGAAGATGGAACCGATACCATGCGATTGAAACTTTGTCAGAAGAATGTCTTTCTCGGTCATCGTAGATTCTTAACTTCTAAACATCAGTATCGTGGATGGAGAAAAGCGTTCAATGGA